ACCTCCTGTCCCCCGCGCCGCCTCGGCGTTCTGCTTCCCGCCCCGCCCGCAGCCGCCAGCCCGCGCCCCGATTGGCTGCTCCGGGGTTTTATTCCCTCTTTCCTGCTTCCTTCGGGCGCCAAGTGGCGGGGAGGTGGCGCTGACGTGGAGCCGGCGCAGGTAACCCGAGCGCCCCGGGCACCGCGCGCGCACTTGGCCCGGGCGCCAGGCTGGGCGGGGGCGGCTCCTTCGGCTCCGCTGGGTTCAGAGAGAGAACCGGTTTGGCCTCTGGTGGGCGGTGGGAGCATGCGCGTGTGGGTGAGTGAGTGAGTGAGTGAGTGTGTGTGCACGCGTGTGTGAGGGTGTGTGTCTGTGAGGGTGTGTGCACGTGCATGTCTGACAGTGTGTCCGTGTGTGCATCTGTGAGATTGTGTGTGTGCACACCCGCGTGTGTGTATGAGCGTGTGTGTCTGTGAGAGTGTACTCACGTATGGGTATGTGCACACACATGTGCGCTTGTGTGTGCACACTCGTCTGAGTGCATGGGCGAGTGTGTGCACTCATACGTGTGGGTGTGTGCACGTACGTGTGCATATGGGGGTGTGCATGCATGTGTGTAAAGGTATGTGTGTCTGAGTGTACACGTGCATGTGTGAGCATCTGCAAGAGCGTTTTTGTGTGTGCATGTGAGAGTGTTTGTGCATGTGTCTGTGAGTGTGCGTGGAAGTGTGTGTATCTTTGTGGACACGAATAGAGTGTGTGTCTGTGTGCCTGTGCTGTTGGCTATGTCCCGCTGTCCAGGCCCCGGTGGCCCAACAGTGAGCCCTGGGGTCCCCATCATGGTGGGTCCAGCCCCAGGCACCTCGGCTTCCTACTAGAAGCTTCCGCCCCCCTCCGCACCCTCCACAAGAGGCACCGAAAGCCCAGGAGAGTGTGGAAATGTCCGGTGACGGAGCTCTCTCTAACACATGAAGAGTGACAAGGTCCCAACATGCCGACTCCCAGAGGGACTGAGTTTGCCAAGGGGTGTTTGTTGTGAAGGGAGGAGGGCCAGCGAGCCGCCTCATGGTGGGTGAGGATTTAGTGCCTTTCCTGGAAAGGCAATTGCACAACATGTGGCAGAGTTTGTGTACCCTGCCTCCATGGGGCGCCTAAGAAAAGGTAATCAGAGAGGCAGAAGCCAAGATTTATAGACAAGACTTCATAAACAATATATATGCACATTACACATATAAAACATATACACACATATGTGAGATCATGAAGAATCAGGAACCATCAAAATGTTGCAAAATAGCCTAGCCGGTTTGGCTCAGAGGATAGAGCGCCGGCCTGCAGACTGAAGGGTCCCGGGTTCGATTCCGGTCAAGGGCACATGCCCGGGTTGTGGGCTTGATCCCCAACAGGGCGTGCAAGAGGCAGCCAATCCATGACTCTCTCATCATTGATGCTTTGATCTCTCTCTCCCTCTCCCTTCCTCTCTGAAATCAATAAGAGGGGACAGGCTCCCAGAACCCGGCCCTCGTCAGCCGGTCCCCAATGAAAGGCATTGCCTGGGCGCCAGGTTGACCACAGCTGGGACCATCCAGCCCTGAGTTTCAGCTACACCTGTACCCAAGCTCCTCTGCACCCCAGTTCCCCTTGAAACCCCGAGACCAGAAGACAGAGAAATATCCGGCTTGTTCAGCATCAAAGATCTTTATTAACGTACCTTTCCTAGTTGAATACAAATAAAACGGTTACAAACTACAGTCATCCGATCAGAGCCACTGAGCAGGGAGACTAATCATCAAAAAACGTTTATTAAAAAAATAGACAACGTGTGTAAACACCTTTTCCACGCGCGAGGCTTCATAATACAGCGCACAGGCCCGGGCCTTGGGTCTCGGCAGGGGGAGCACCTTCATTGTTGACTAACAGGAATCAGGTTCATTTATCTTTCGGGGGGCTACGGGTCTACAGGAAAATAAATAACAGCTTCTGCTCAGTATGCACATAGAGAATCGCCAATGTACAAGAGATCCCAGTGAGAATAGAGCTATCTGCAGAGACGTGACAGCGTAAAGCGTCTCTTGTAATTATCTCTTTAAATGGCTTCCCTTCTAGAGTCGTTAAAACAGAGTTGACTAAAATAAAGCTAAACGGGAACAGGAAGCCGGCCGGCGTGGCTCAGTGGTTGAGCGTCGACCTAGGAACCAGGAGGTCACGGTTCGATTCCTGGTCAAGGTCACATGCCCGGGTTGTGGGCTCGATCCCCGGTGTGCAGGAGGCAGCCGATCCGTGATCCTCTCTCATCATTGATGTTTCTCTCTCTCCCTTCCTCTCTGAAGTCACTAAAAATACATATTAGAAAAAGAAAACAGGACCGGAAGACAGGAACAAGACAGACGGACAGCCATCACAACCCCTGCGCGCCAGTACTTTGGTAGAAACACAACTGAACGTGTGGTTTCTCTATGCCTCTTCCAGGCATTAATTCAACACCCACCCTAAAGTAAAGCCGAATCGTAGAAGGGACGGTAGGTAACACAGCACAGCGCAAGAAGCACCTGAGATTCTGCTGCGAGAAATCTTAAAACACAAGGTTGTTTTCTTCAGGGAAAAATCCAGAATTAAATGAACTGTGAAATAGCTACACAGCACTTGAGTCCTAACAGTGCTGCTGTTTCTGCACTTGGCAGTGTTTCTCTCCAACTGTACTTGGGGTGATTCAGATAACGACGCATTGAAACAGAGAAAAAATGACATGACGTGACCTGAATGCGTACAACACAATGATACGCGTGTCCGTTTTTAAAGATTCTGCCACAAAAGGAAAAGGCTTTCCGTTCTGGGGGCGGAACCCCTGGCTACTGGAGCCGGAAGCCCCGCTCTCTACGGGGAGGACCCGGGAGGCAGGTCTCAGGCGCACACATTGTGCTGAGCCCAACGCCAAGGTCTGATCGTGGGCACATCTGCTTTGGACGTCGAATGGGTAAAATGTGTAAGTTACATTCAGTAGATTCTCCTCCAAGAGAGAAATAGTGCAAAGTTCAGGTGAGAATTGGATGTATTTACCCATTATAACCCTACTGTTGGGTCTAGGGCCCTTACATAGGGTTTTGTATCTATTCTGGTTACCATTTTTTTTTTAAAAAAATAGACACCTTTGCCCGGCCGGCGTCACTCAGTGGTTGAGCATCCACCTAGGAACCAGGAGGTCACGGTTAGATTCCCAGTCAGGGCACAGGCCCGGGTTGTGGGTTCCATCCCCAGTGTGGGGTGTGCAGGAGGCAGCCGATCCATGATTCTCTCTCACCATGGATGTTTCTATCTCTCTCCCTCCCTCTCTGAAATCAATAAAAATATATTTCTTTAAAAATAGGCACCTTTACTTACTAATAGCACATTCCTCTTCTTGGCTTTTTGTTGCACAAAAGAGAGAGAGTTAGAGAAAGAAAGGTGAGAAGAAAGGAAAGGAGAAAAAAGAACAAAGGAGAGGGAGGAAGGCAGGGAGGGGACAAGGTGACCCACCGGCCTGCAGCGCTCTCGTCCATGTGCCTCTCGGGCCCATGACCGCTGCCGGCACGGGGCCGCCGCTCTGCGAGACCCAGCAGCACGAAACAACTCAAAGACAGACGCAGTGTTTTAATCGTTCACCTTACAAAAGAGAGAAATGCTTGCATAACATAAGGCACTAAGACAGGAACTCCTTCTCCAGCTGGTAGCCGGCCGGCCGGCCGTTCCCGCTCTTCGCCCGGCACAGGGGCGGCGTGCAGTCCTGGCTCTGGCCCTGCACGTCGGCGTCCAGCAAGGAGGGCCCGAGCGACCTAGTTCTGTCCCGGGCTCCGAGGGGACAGCCAGGGGTCAGTGCCCCGCCGCCCAGGCCAGGGTCCGTCTGCGCGGGCAGAGGCTCTGTCCTCCCCGGGAAGGCCTGGGGGGCATCCGTGGGGGCTGGGAGGGCGGAGGGGGGAGGCACAGGGGTGAAGGCTCTGTGTTTTCCCGGCGGGGCCTCCAGTGGCAGGGCCTGGAGGGGCAGGTTCCTGTGAGGCCAGGAGGGGTGGGGGGGTCCCCACACCTGCTCGGGGGGCAGTCCTGGAGCTCCTGCGGCAGCAGCTGCTGAGAAAGCAAAGACAGTGCCATCAGAGACCGGGACGTCCGACACAATGCATATCACAACTAACCAGCCCGGCCCGTGTGGCTCAGTGGTTGAGCGTTGATCCAGGAACCAGGAGGTCACGGTTCGATGCCCGGTCAGGGCACATGCCCGGGTTGCAGGCTCGATCCCCAGTAGTGGGCGTGCAGGAGGCAGCCGATCCATGATTCTCTCTCCTCATGGATGTTTCTCTTTCTCTCTCCCTCTCCCTTCCTCTCTGACATCCATAAGAATATATTTTTAAAAAACAGAAACCTGACCACCAGCCGGGCTTGCGTGGGCTTTCTGATTTAAGGTGCTATTAATTATTACATATTTAAGTGACTGACGTTTAATTATCCTTTTCCCAGAATCCAGATGATGTGAAAGGAAGGCGTAGGGTAGAATTCGAAGGCCTGTGTGCCTGGTGGAAACAGAGCTGTAAATGGAGACTCTGGGAAATGCCATCACGTGTCAGGCGCCCAGATGCGGGGTGACACTCTGCCGCCTACAGTGCTGTCCGTACCTGCCCTCCGAGCGCCTACCTGGGGCCAGAGAGGCGTTGCCATCGGACACGGTCCGCCTGTGACTCGCTGCCCTTTTCTTCGACGAAGCACAGGGAGTCGCGTTCCCACGGGGCAGCTCCGAGGAGGGGGGACCCAGGTGCCTCCACACCCCGCTCTCGGCCTCGCGTCTGGGTGGGGAGCCTGGCTGGCACCCTCCTGCGGCAGGACAGACACCCGGAGTGGGCACGTCGGGGGCGCGCATGCTGTGCGCGCCGCCCTCGAGGGAATCCCCGCCCTCCGCCTGCAGCAGGCACTTGGTGGAGAGGGAGGGCCTGGAGAGAAGACCCAGGGCGCCGGGCGGGGGCAGCGTGGCCGATGCCCGGGGGCGATCGGCGGCCCGCGGGGCCAGGGTGCCCCGCTGCAGGATGCCCTCGCGTTTCTTCCTTTCTTCCCTGGGCCCCGGCTCCTCCGCGGCCGGCACCCGGGGCAGCTCTCGGATGTCCAGGCCCAGGGCCACGGCCGCCAACAGCGCGGTGCAGCTGTACAGGGCGCCCTCCGTCCTTCTCCTGGGGGGCGGCCTGCTCAGAGTGTGGGTCGGGGTCCCCTGAGGGGTGCCGGCGGCTGAGGCAGCGTCCTCCCAGTTCTCAGTCTCCGGCGGGCTCTCTCGCTGCCCATCTTTCCCCAGAGGCGGGTCCGCCGGGGCTGGCGCTGAGGGTTTGATCTGCTGTGGTTTTCTGGGCTCTGATCCGTCCGCAGAGGGTTTGGGTTCTTCGCAGGCACCTGAGAAAGGCAGAGATGCACAAAGGAGGAGCGTCTTCCAGGGAAAGTCCTTTAAACTACACGCACAATAGCTCTAGCCCAGTGGTCGGCAAACTCATTCGTCAACAGAGCCAAATATCAACAGTACAACGATTGAAATTTCTTTTGAGAGCCACATTTTTAAACTTAAACTATATAGGTAGGTACATCAGTTGCACCTGTGGGTCGCGACCCCTTTGGGGGTCGAACGACCCTTTCACAGGGGTCGCCTAAGACCATCGGAAAACACATCTATAATTACATATTGTTTTTGTGATCCATCACTATGCTTTAATGATGTTCCATTTGTAACAATGAAATTGGGGGTCACCACCACATGAGGAACTGTATTAAAGGGTCGCGGCATGAGGAAGGTGGAGAACCACTGCTCTAGGAGGAGGAGTGATGGGGATCAAAAGATTCTAAGAAAGAAGTAGGATGGCTTCTCGGAGGACTCCCTCTGTCTGGACAGGCACAGATAACCCCACATAATAAAAGCCTAATATGCTAAGTGTCCGGTCGACTGGTCGGCTGTCCAATCAATCAAAGCGTAATATGCTAATGATATGCTAAGGCTGCTCAACTGCTTCTACAACCCCCAGAATCGGGGTGTGAAGCAAATTCTGTTTCTGAGGCACGTACCTGGTTGGTCCACAAACAATGATGCCAACGGCATGGTTTTGTGATGTTTTATGAAGAGAGTTGACCAAGGACTGTTGCCATCCGAGAGAGGTCTTATTCTACGAGAGAAAGACACTTATTTTATTTCCTTCCTTCCTTCCTTCCTTTTTAATCCTCACCTGAAGATATTTTTTCCATTGATTTTTAGAGGGAGTGGAAGGAAGAGGGAGAGACAGAGAGAAACACCGATGTGAGAGAGAGACACATCGATCGGTTGCCTCCTGCATGCCACCGACCAGGGCTGGGCCAGGAGCCTGCAACTGAGATACGTGCCCTTGACCAGGAATCGAACCCGGGACCCTTCAGTCCACAGGCCGATGCTCGACCACTGAGCCAAACCAGCTAGGGCAAGATGTTTATTTTAATGTAATAGAAACACATAGCCAATTAGGTGTTGAGGAGCTAACGAAGCACAAATAAAACCTTAAAAATCAGACAGATAATATGTCGGAGATTTAACGACGTAACTTTAAATAATAACGAATGAGTGTGATAAACTCATCCTAGAAATGGAAATCATATTCCGATATCTCTACAGTATCCTAATTTTTAAACTTTTTATCTTATTATTTATTTTTTAAATTTATCTTTATTGTTGAAAGTATTACACAGGTTCCCCTTTCCCCCGCCACCCCATTAACTCCCCCCTCCTGCTCCCACCTCCTCCCCAGCCTTCACCACACTGTGGTCTGTGTCCATGGGTTAGAGGTTATGCATCTATACACGTAAGTTCTCTGGTTAATCTCTTCCCGTCCCCATCGCCCCCTTCCCTCTGAGATTCGTCCGTCTGTTCTATGCTTCCATGTTTCTGGATCTATTTTGTTCATCAGTTTATTTTGTTCATTCGATTCCACATAGAAGTCTAATTTTTTTTTTTTTAAGTTAAGTCTGGCCAATGCCGTACTGGAGAGGGTGCTGCCATTTGTCGCAGTACCCACTGGAGCCACCAGGGGGCGCACACGTACCTTTCTTTGCAATCAGTTCGTTCTTTCATTTGGATAGAACTGGGTCCCCAGGTACAACCTCTCCTCTTGAAATTCCTTCTTACATCTTCAAACTCTTCCTGTCGGCAGACCGTGCTCCTTCCCCACGTTCTGTTGCTTTCATCTGAAGTCACTAAACAGGGAGCATCACTCATTCATCAAGTAAGAAACTTTAAAGTCAGAAGAATCAAATCATTTGTAAAAAAAACAAAAACAAAAACAACAAAAAAACTACCTTGCTTAAAACATGTAAACAATGAAGAAGCATAAAAATAATAAACGATTTCTTTCACTGGTGAGCTTTCTCTAATGAGAAAATTCGCACAAAAACTGAAATAAGTTAAAAGAAAAGGTACAAAATCTAGGCAAATTAGTAGCAAAGATTGGATTATTTATTTATCTATTTAACATTCTGTGACAGTGAGAATTTCACTGTATTTGGGGGGGGAAAATAAGAGCCAAGCCCGGCCGGCGTGGCTCTATGGTCGAGCATTGACCTACGAACCAGGAGGTCACGGTTCAATTCCTGGTCAGGGCCCATGCCAGGGTTGCGGGCTCCATCCCCAGTAGGGGGTGTGCAGGAGGCAGCCGATCAATGATTCTCTCTCATCATCGATGTTTCTCTCTCTCTCTCTCTGTCCCTCTCTGAAATCAATAAAAGTATACTTTAAAAAATGTTATCAATGGAAGAAAACTAGATTTAGGAATGTAAGACTAAATTTTGTTTTCCCAATAGTTGTGACACCTATTCCATGTCAAATGCTCAGTTACAACCAGTTGAACCAATGACAGAAACAGACACGGGGCCCGGGGGCGGGCGGGGCGGCGCTCACGCTGTATGGCCCGGAGCCGCGGGATCACGGTGGGGCTGCTGGGCGGGCTGGACCCGCTGCTGTTCAGACTCCTCCGTTTGTCCAGGTTGGGAGAGGCCTGCACGGTGATTTTGTGCTGGAAATCTGTCAGACGGGAGAGAAAGAACTGAGATTTCCTGGTTTGAAGTTATTTTCACAGCCGCGTCTTCGGCACATAGCAATCCGAGCAAAAACTGCCAGAGAGCCCGGCCGGCGGGCTCAGGGGTGGAGCGTCCACCTAGGAACCAGGAGGTCACGGTTCGATTCCCGGTCAGGGCACATGCCCGGGTTGCAGGCTCGATCCCCAGTGTGGGGCGTGGAGGAGGCAGCCGATCCATGGTTCTCTCTCATCATGGATGTTTCTCTCTCTCCCTCCCCCTTCCTCTCTAAAATCAATAAAAGTATATTTTTTAAAAAAAGAATCATTAAAAAAATAGAAAGTAAAAGTACTTTGTGGTCACAGCACTTTACAAATGGTAGGTACCATTACCTACCTGTAAGGGAGGGTAGGAGTCCAGACAGAGCTGTGCAAAGAACTATGGGAATATATGAAAGAAAGAATAGTAGCAGATGGAAGGGGAGACTGTCTTAGTAAAATGTAAAAAAACATATATATATATATATATATATATATATATATATATATATATATATATTTAAAACTCAGACACAAGTAAGGGACATCCTGGGTGTTCTGCCTTCGTCTTTGATTGATTTTCGAGTGACTGGGGTATTTTTACAGCTCAGGAGGGGCAGAGGTTAACGTGTAGAGTTCGTCTGGGGATGATGCAAATAGTTTCTGTCTGGCCAGAAAGACAATCCCAAAGGTTACGGTTTATTGCCTTTCCGGGCATTAACCAGGTTGGTATTTAACCAGCAATCGAACCCTCACATTCCTTTACTAATGGCCCATAAAGAAGACCTGGTCCCGCTAATTCTATCGAATCAATTGGAACGGGTTCCCTCATTCACCAGTGAGTTGAGAAAAATCTCTGACACATGTCCATTTCATATTTGCAGAACCATAGTTTACTTTATTACCTTAAAGAATCACCTAGTATTTGTGGGTTTTTTAAAAATATATTTTGATTTCAGAGAAGAAGGGAGAGGGAGAGAGAGAACATCCATGATGAGAGAATCATGGATCAGCTGCCTCCTGCACGCCCCACACTGAGGATCGAGACCACAACCCGGGCACGTGCCCTGACCGGGAATCGAACCGTGACCTCCTGGTTCGTAGGTCAAAGCTCAACCCCTGAGCCACGCTGGTCGGGCTGTGTGCTATTTTCTATTCTGCTTGGCATCTCCTGACACATGTAATCCCTTCATGCTCCCATCACAATGATTTAAGAACATTTTTAAAAGCTTCCCTAGATTTCCTGGTTCTTTTTTACACCTAACGCACTTTAAACCCTCAGATGGAAGTAATTAAACTATTTGATATATCTTGTCGAAGGTGCTGGCAGCATCTTCCCTGTCCCAAACGACCATGTGACACTAAAGATCCCCAGGAGGCAATAACCCTAACGATGAAATAGCGACAGCTGTCCCGGACTTTCTCCACGCCATGCGGGGCCTGTGCGATCAGCTGCACGGGAATTCTGCTTTGGTTTCACAAGGAGAAAATCCACTAATCCCTACAAGCAAAATTACCGAAGAGTTAAATACTCGCATGCCGCCCTAGCCGGTGTGGCCCAGTGGATAGAGCGTCGGCCTGCAGACTGAAGGGTCCCAGGTTCGATTCCTGGTCAGGGCACATGCCTGGATTGCAGGCTCAATCCCCAGTGTGGGTGCGTGCAGGAGGCAGCCGATCCATGATTCTCTCTCATCATTGATGTTTCTATCTCTCTCTCTCCCTTCCTCTCTGAAATCAATACAAACATATTTAAAAAATAATAAAATACAGCCCTGGCCGGTTTGGCTCAGTGGATGGAGCGTCCGCCTGCGGACTGAAGGGTCCCAGGTTCGATTCCGTTCAAGGGCAGGTACCTTGCTTGCGGGCACATCCCCAGTGGGAGGTGTGCAGGAGGCAGCTGGTCGATGTTTCTAACTCTCTCTCCCTCTCCCTTCCTCTCTGTAAAAAAATCAATAAAATATATTTTTAAAAATATAATAAAACACACACTCGTGTGCCACGCTCTGGTTCACGCGGAAACCGGGGCTGACGGCACGACGACCACGCACTGCGAAAGCCACGGAAGAAGCGCCATGTCTCGGAGACCTCATTTCG